TAATGCCGCCGCTCTTTCATCATTTCCTCCCAAGCCCGCATCAATATATAATCGAGCACATTTCATATAAAATGCAAATAAAAATACCAAGTGTATAGATGGAGAGAGTACATGTTGGAGATCATAGTTGCTCCGTTACTGCATCCCTTTACCATTTTCCTACCACAACCAAATCTATACAAACCGCCGCTGCAACTTCAATTCATTTCTAAAACATCAGCAAACTACAATTAAACTAAATAATAGAAACGAATGAAAATATATAATGTGAGATGGAAATGAATTCATGAAGCAAAGCTTATAGGGTGTGATTGGACGCTGCCAGCAGAACCCAATCACCTCTGCCTTTCCATTCACTCAGTGAAGCAAATTAAAGCTTCCAGGTTATATACGTCTCGGCTTCACATATAAGCCCCTCCCCCCTTCAACAAAAATCATACGATTTCCATCCCAAAAACAAAAATAAAGGCTTCGCAAATCTAATGGCTGTCAAAAACCATGAGTGAGTACACGATAGTTGTCTGCTCCATTTTTTTCCCCATGAAAGCCAAACCAGCCCTCGCACAATATCCCACATAGAAACCAGATGAAGAATGTGTTCTCTTAATAAGTCACTAGCTAGAAGAATTTCATGCTGGGCTTGGTAGCGTGAGCCTGTAACCCGAGTGGGAGCATTAAGAAAGTGGAACAACTGGCCTTGCCCTGAAGGCTGGGCTTGGTGTGCTATCTTCTGGCCTGCCCGTTCCAAGTGGTGAGTTGACTAAGGAGTCTCAGCGAAGGCAGGGGCTTCTCTGTCTTTAGATCGGAGGGTGCCGCGTTAGGCTGGCTTCACAGAGCAGCGAAAACCTCCTCCTCTCTGCAGTGGAAGGATAATGGGCTGGTGCATCCTCAGTCCACTAGTGCCTGATGGGCTGCCTAAATTGAACCACCATCTTTTTACCTGTTGTCCAAGTTAGCAGCCCAATAAAGCCTTTACAACAGTAACTTATATGGACTTGGGTATATAACATACCAAGTGCACATAAAATACAACAAATAATTGGGAGTTGAGTAGAACATAGTCACATACACTAATAAACTATAAAGCATATGTCAAAAAATTCAAGTTCATTTCAACTTGTTGAACTGTTCAAAGCATATTTTCCAATTTCTGCAAAATGAACTAAAAAAGTATATGAATTTAATTATCTGGAAAGCGTAGAGGGAGTAGTAGAGTAACATTTTACTCAAAACATATTTCTTTACCTTAACTATGTCACAGTATTGTCTGGCAATCATGTTGGAGTAAGGATCACATACACCTGAATACTCATGTAGACAGGTGACCTATTGCAAACAATTAAATATGACAATTTTCATGGTGGCATGTAATAGAAATATTCACTTGCAGTGTTCAAATTCACATATTTTTATGCCGATGCTGCAACTTTATATCTTTGACAAGCTTGATAAGCATGTAACTCCAAGTATCTGCTTCAAAACCTTGAATGGAAACACAAGTTATATCTCAGTATGCTGAGAAACAAAGTTCTTTAACTCGGAGGAATACACAATTCAGTCCATAATTATTATATGCAGAGAAACAAAGTTCTTTAACATTCAACCAGTGGACAATAGTGAATAAAAAGATAGCCGCCTTAGCATTAGCAAGCATATAAAAGAGAGAAAGATTCGAACTGAACAATCAAGATGGATGAAAGTGCAGTACATGTAGGAGCAAAAACCATAAATGAATGGAAGGAAGGTTATTGCAATGCTAGCTAACATACCAATTCAATGTCACCGGTCTATCGCGTGACAAAAAAATCTGTATGCATATATAATTAATAATCTCAAATCACAACACTAATGGCTAATTTCCCCTAAACTCAATAAATGATCAAAACTGCTAAATTTTACATATATAGTACCAAGGCTTCCAAATAAAGCTGAAGCTCTTTCGTCATTTCCTCCCTCGCCTGCATCTATCAATATATGATCGAACACATTTCTAAACTAAACAATAAAAACATATGAAAATAATGTGAGATGGAAATAAAGATGAAGCAAATTAAAGCATATAGGGTGTGATTGGATGCTGCCAGCAGAACCCAATCATCTCTGCATTTCCATTCAGTGAAGCAAAAACCATGCATAAACATGAGTACATGCATGATAGTTCTCTGCTCCTTTTTTTTCCCATGAAGGCCAAACAAGTCCTCGCACAATTCGTACATCGAAATCAGATGAGAAATTTGTTCTCTTAATAAGCGCCTAGCTAGAAGCATCGCTTGCTGGGCTTAGTAGCGCGAGCCTGTAACCCCAGTGGGAGCATTAAGATTGTGGAAAATTGGACTTGTGGCCGTTGTGGGTTGACGGGAAGTTTCTCTACGAAGGTGGAGGCGAGAGATGTAGGTGCCTTGGCCTTCAGATCAGAAAGACCCCATGAGGCCGGCTTCAGTATAACTGGCCGGTCATCCCCCCTAATTAAACCACCTATCTTTTCCCTTTTCCCTTTTCCCTTTTTCTTTGGGAAAGGGTCAAAATTTCAAACATTCACCAATCTATAAAGGCAACATAGCATTCAACCAGTGGACAATAGTGGATAGAAAGATAGCCTAAGCATCAGCAAGCTATTCCATTCAGGGAAGCAATGCTTATAGGGTGTAAGATGGAAATAAAAACGTACGAAAATAGTGTAAGATGGAAATAAAAATGTACCAAAATTGTGTAAGATGGAAATGAAAACGTACGAAAATAGTGTAAGATGGAAATAAAAACGTACGAAAATAGTGTAAGACGGAAATAAAAACGTACGAAAATAGTGTAAGACGGAAATAAAAACGTACGAAAATAGTGTAAGATGGAAATAAAAACGTACGAAAATAGTGTAAGATGGAAATAAAAACGTACGAAAATAGTGTAAGATGGAAATGAAAATGAAGCAATGTGTATAGTGTGTGAGTGGACGCTGCTAGCAGAACCCAATCATATCTGCCATTTCATTCAGGGAAAAAAAGCTTCCAAGCTATGTCTCAGCCATTTCATTCAGTGAACAAAAATGATACAATTCTCATCACAAAATTAAAATAAAAATCAAGGCTTCATCTAAATACCTAAGTTTTGGTGAACAATGATACAACGCAAAAACCATGAGTACACGATAGTTGTCTGCTCCATTTTTATCCCCATAAAGCCAAACCAGCCCTCGCACAATATCCCACATCAAAACCAGAGGAAGAATATGTTCTCTTAATAAGTCCCTAGCCAGAAGAATTGCTTGCTGGGCTTTGTAGCGTGAGCCTGTAACCTGAGTGGGAGCATTAAGATGCTGGAACAGTTGGGCTTGCCCTGATGGCTGGGCTTGAGGTGTTATCTTCTGTCCCACCCGTTCCAAGCGGTGAGTTGACGGAGGAGTTTTGGCGAAAGCGGAGGCTTCTCCGTCCTTAGATTGGAGGGTATTGTGTGAGGCTGGCTTTATAGAACAGCGAAAACTTCCTCCTCTCTGCAGTGGAAGGATAATGGGCCGGTGCATCCTCAGTCCACTAGCGCCTGATTAACTGCCCAAATTGAACCACCATCTTTTTACCTGTTGGCCAAGTTAGCATGGGCCACACAGCCCAATAAAGCCTTTACAACAGTTAGAGAGCTAAATGGGGGTGTGAAGTGTTTTGGGCAACAAGAACATTTTTTACCTTCATTTTCCAAATTTAATATTTTAGATAAAATTATTCAAAATTTCAAATGATTTTTAAAATTCAAATATTCAGAATATTTGTGAATGTGTTTAGTATTGGGACTCCTCAATAAAAGCAATATTGTATTTTGTATTTGCCTACAAGGATTCAATATTTTTCCTTATTTTTTATATGGTTTTGTCTTCTTCAAACAACTCAGTTCTTGCTGCTGAGGCCTCTTCAGGATGCTGCTGAATATTAGTTGTCTAGGATATATATATTAGTTATTGAAAACAAAAAACACAGTACTAAACTCACATGCATATTTATGCTGATGTTGCAACTTTATATCTTTGACAAGCTTGATAACCACTCTAAATATCTGCTCCAAAACCTTGAATGGAAGCACAGATTATATGCCAGCAGACCCCAATCATCTTTGCCATTCCATTCACTCAGTGAAGCAAATTAAAGCTTCCAGGCTATGTATGTCTCTGCTTCACATATAAGCTCCTCCCCCCTTCAATAAAAATGATACAATTTCCATCACAAAAACAAAAATCAAGGCTTCGCAAATTTCTTAGCTGTCAAAAACCATGAGTGAGTACACGATAGTTGTCTGCTCCACTTTTTCCCCATGAAAGCCAAACAAGCCATTGCATAGTTTCCCAGAGCAGCGATAACCTCCTCCTCTTTGCGGTGGAAGGATAACTGGCCTGTGCAACCTCAGTCCACTACCGCCTGATGGGCTCCCCAAGTGAACTACCATCTTTTTTTCTTTTGGGGCCACACAGCCAATAAACCCCTTTACAAACAATGAAGAATTTAGAGAGCATTGTAGTATTATTATATATGTAAACTGTATTTGCCTAAAAGGATTCAATATTTTCTCACATTCGTTTATATTGTTTTCTCTCCTTCAACAACTCAATTCCTCTTCAAGCATGCTGGTACCATTGCTCTAGCTATTGATGCCGCTAAAAATTAATTGTATAGAAAATATCTAAGGGGTGATTGGTTAGAGTATCAAAATTGGAATTAGAATCGCAATCAAATATTTAGTAATTAGAATGAGTTTTAACAAAAGCAAACTTACTAGAGCCATGAATAAAAAAAACCATTCATTTGACCCCTTCAATTTTTTTTAAGTCTAAATTCACCGTAATAAAATCTATACATACATATGACCTCCATTTGAAAGAGCCACAAAGATGCCATTGAGCTACAAGCCACTTGACAACTACGTCATTTTTTTTTTTTTTTTTTTTTAAAGCAAGAAAGAAATAAATCAAGTGGATAATTTATCAAATTTTCATTAAAATTGGAAATTTGAGGATTAGAAAATTGAAAAATAAAGAACTTGTATTAAACTCAATTCTCCACATTGGTAAACTCTCTCCATTCCTCCCATTTTTGGCATTTGATAATTTAATTACCAGTTGATTGATCTATTGCGTAGCAGTCAAAAACCATGTACAAACATCAGTTCTCTGCTCCAATTTTTGCTATGTCATCGCACAACTCAACACATTGAAACCAGATGAGAAATATGTTCTCTTAATAAGAGCCTAGCTAGGAGGAATGCTCGTTGGGGTTGGTAACACGAGCATTAAGTCAGTATGCTGAGAAACAAAGTTCTTTACCTCAGTGGAAGGCACAATTCAGTCCAGAGATGAAGAAGAGGAAAGTTCAGATAAAAGGCTGCAAGGATATGGGAAAGAAGAATTGTAGATATATCTTGATTCTACCACTGGCTTCAGTTTTTTTTATAAGTCCTTTAAAAAAACTCTTGTAGTGAAATAAAGTTTAAAAGCTAAAATGGCAGATGCTAGAGTAACAAGATTGTGCCACATGCCAAGTTATGTTATTATCGATCAAGGCGACAATCAAACATTATGGATTGTATAATACCAATTAGACTATTCAAGTAAATTATCCATAAACTAGACTTGATTATAAATTATTCATGATGTAAAGTCTACAGCTCAAGACTGGTAGGATAAGCCCAAATTAATTTTGATTTGCAAATTGCAATAGCATATATCTCAAACATTCACCAATCTATAAAGGCAACATAACATTCAACCAGTGGAAAATAGTGGATAGAAAGATAGCCCAAGCATCAGCAAGCTAAGCCATATAAAACAGAGAAAGATTGAAACAGAACAATCAAGATGGATGAAAGTGTAGGAGCAAAAACTATAAATAAATAGAAGGAAGGTTGAATTGAGTTGAGTTTCCCATAAATAATTAGGTGTTATTCCAAGTTATTGATTGGGAATACCTCCAATTGAAGGGTCTGAAGCACATTAGTGAAATTGGGTGAATTTGAGCTGGAACTCATTGAAAAACTGGTACTCGTGTTGTCAAGGGAACTTGTTGAGAGTACACTCAACTTGTCAATTTCGTCATCTTGAATCTCACCATCTATGGAGATAAGACCTTTGAGCAGCTTCTGCAGCTACAATCCTGAGCTTCATAATCCCAAAATATTTTCATTTACCTAGAAATATCACAAAACAAATTCTTGACATATTTTACTTTGAGCATATTTATGTCCCTCTAAATAAGAAAAATGCTACAAAGTATAGTTTTAATGGTGATCAATGCTTTCAGCAAAATTCATCTTCTAAATTGATTTGAAGTGTTAACATTATGGCAATCTTTATATTGACTCCAATTATTATATACAGTGCAAAAATAAGGAGCCTGAGGAAGGGTTTTCAAACTGAGCTGAGAGTAATGACCCTAAGATACTCTTCCACCATTGCAATTGCCTCTATCTCTATGTAAACTGCCTACATTATTTATCCATTATCCATAAAAAGATCAAATTGTACACAAAAAATCTGTATGCATAATCTATCTCAAATCACAACCCTAATTTTCCCTAAACTCAATAAATAATCAAAACTGCTAAATTTTACATATATAGTAAGTACCGAGGTTTCCAAATAATGCTTCCTTCACTATTTTCCGACCAGAAGCAGTCTATTCGAACCGCTGCAGCAACTTCAATTCATTTCTAAAACTTTAGCCGCCACAATTTAAACTAAATAATACAAACCTACGAAATTATATAATGTGAGATGGAAATGAAAATGAAGCAAAGCTTAAAGGGTGTGAGTGGACGCTGCCAGCAGAACCCAATCATATCTGCTATTCCATTCAAGCAATGTCTCTGCCATTTCATTCAGTGAACAAAAATGATATAATTTTCATCACAAAAAAAAATAAAAATAAAAATCAAGGCTTCATCTACATACCTAAGTTCTGGTGAACAATGATACAACGCAAATACCATGAGAACACGGTAGTTCAGTAGTTGTCTGCTCCATTTTTATTCCCCATGAAAGCCAAACCAGCCCTCGCACAATTTCCCACATCGAAACCAGATGATGAATATGTTCTCTTAATAAATTGGCCGTAAATTTATCCATAGTGGGCTTTCTAACTTTTCAACAGGCCTTATTGTGCCGGAATTGAAGCCTAAATTTAACAGATATGCTATAAACGGGTCCGGGTCGGTTTGTACCCCGCTAGATCTAGTATTGTGTGTGCGACAAATTATGTTGTGCATCATCATACACGGATGCAAAAATGAAGTCGTTTTGCATCAAAACGCGCATCCTACTTAAAAAAAAAAAAATCAGTTTTGATTCCCAGTAACAACATTATGTTATTCATTTTTTAGTTTATTCATTCTGAATTTTTAGTTATGAAATTCTGGATGTGTAGTTATGCAATAATTCTGGATTTATAGTTATGAAGTTATGAATGTGTAGTTATGCAATTCTGGATGTATAGTTATGAAGTTATGGATGTGTGGTTATGCAATTCTGGATTTATAGTTATTAAATTATGGATGTGTAGTTATGTAATTCTAGATGTATAGTTATGAAATTATGGATGTGATGAAATTATGTATGTGTAGTTATGCAATTCTGATTTTTTTTTTTTTTGTTTTAAGTTAGACGTCAAAATGACGTCGTTTTTGGATCTGTATGCACCATGCATGGTGCATACGGATGCACAGCATAACGCTCCTGTGTGTATTTACAATCAGGGACGGAGCCAAAGGGGGGGCAGGGGGCTGCTACCCCCTCCCCCCACCCCCACCCCCATCCCATATATAATTTTTGTATGTATATATGTAATATTATGTATATATAGTATAGGTATTAGTATTAGTAAAATAAAACTATTAAATATTAATAAGATGTGATTTAAATGAGTTGGTTAAGCGTATGTTGAGTTGTGATAAAGTGTAGGGGTTCAAATCTTTATGATAACATATTTTTATAGTTGGCTTCAACAGTCTTTTTTTACTCATTCCTATGGTTTCAATACAGTCACGTTTTTAATAGCTTTTTAATATTTAATACATACACACATATATATAACATTCTTTTATATTAATAATGAGATGTGTTTTTTTTTAATTATCTCTTTTGTTTGAACGTTTCGCCTTTACTGATTTTTTTTTTTTAATCTGTCCCTACTTCTTCGCCCCCCCCCCCCCATCCCCCCCCCCCCCCCACAACTGAATTTCTGGCTCCGTCCCTGTTTACAATGCATTATGCGCCCTAAGACTGAATTGTGCCGGAATTGAAGCCCAAATTTAGCAGATATGCTATAAACGGGTCCGGGTCGGTTTGTACCCAGCCAGATCTAGTATTGTGTGTATTTACAATGCATTATGCGCCCTAAGACTGAATTGTGCCGGAATTGAAGCCCAAATTTAGCAAAATGCTATAAACGGGTCCGGGTCGGTTTGTACCCAGCCAGATCCAGTATTGTGTGTATTTACAATGCATTATGCGCCCTAAGACTGAATCAGTGAATTGTGTCGGAATTGAAGCCCAAATTTAGTAGATATGCTATAAACGGGCCCGAGTCGATTTGTACCCAGCCAGATCCAGTATTGTGTGTATTTACAATGCATTATGCGCCCTAAGACTGAATTATTTATTATGTTAGATTTTTTGTTTAATGTTATTATTACAATGCAGTATCTGTTCATAACTACTTTGTCAACTTACTGAAGTAAAGAGAGTCAATAGCGCCTCTACTGAGGCTCGAACCCACAATATCCTTGGTATTTATTATGTTAGATTATGTGTATTATGTTAGGAATTTATATGTATTCTATTATACAATTATGTACATACAAAACATGAGATTTTTAGGGCGCACAATGCATTGTGCGTCCTGGTACACGATATAACAATTGATTTAAAATAATGTGAGGTAGTAATCAATGGAAAGCAAGCTTGATTTGAAAAGTTACGCCATTTCTCAATTAATATATTTTGAAAAATTCGACATATGAGATAGTATTTTTTTTTTCTTAAAAAAAGTCAAGACCTTGTAGTCTAATGGCACCCGGGTTGGACTTTCATATGAGAAGTTGTGAGTTCGTGGAGGCGATTCAAAAAAAAAAAAAAAAAAAAAAAAAAACAATTACATAAATCTATACCAAAGTATACGAGGGCAGTACCTTTTGTAGGTTTGAGTATTTGGCCTGTTGAATCTAGAGCGGAAATTAAGTCTTAATTGAATTGAATGTTGTTTTTGCATGATGCTTTTCATTATTGCTCTCCTATGGATTTTGGTACCATAATGATGTTTCTACTAGAACTATAAGTTTTCTTTTAACTTTTCTCTGATTGTTGCTGGGTGGTAGGTGGTGGGTAGTGAAGTACAGCTTTAGTGGCTAAAGAATTGAGATTTTTCTAATATTTTTTGGTGAGATGTTTTCTTTAGTCATGGACATTAAAAAATACGTTGTTGGTGTTGGGACTTGGGTGGGCGAATGGAAAAGGACAATTGACCCATCCTGATGGCAAAATTGCCTTGTAGCAAGGTATAGTGATAATCCTCATTGAAGGGCACTTCTTAATGCCTTTGTGACCAACAAAAAAAAAAAAAAAAAAGAGATAAGAGTAAAAAGTTATCTTACTGCTTGTTGAATGATTTGATCCACCTGCATCTCTATTCTATGGTGTGCCTTTATTATATAAAAAAAGTTAGTACTTTTGTCCTCTTTTAGTTCTTTATATCTTCATATTTAGTTGCCACGTGAGTAAAACGAAAATTCTTGAGGTAACCTATAGACCCCAGAAGATAGTCTGTTGCACCTTCCTAATCCATCTCCACATCAAGCTGAATCACCTCGGCCCTATTTGGATGTGTAATTGGGGTCCCCTACAATAACGAGGTGGTAATTTGGTAATTTTTGCATCTAAGTCAAATTTAATGTGCGTGATTTTCCTTCTTAAGGTGCGTGATTCTTGTGCTTAAGGTGCGTGAGTTTTCGTGCTTAAGGTGCGTGGTTTGTGTGCTTAATTAAGGTGCGTGGGTTGTGTGCTTACTCTTAATATTTGTTGAAACTTAAGGTGTTGGTTTTACTTTTTAAGATGCGTAATTTTTGTGCTTAAGGTTTGTAGATTTTGTACTTAATGTAGGAATAGTTTTTGAAAGTTAAGTTGCTTTGTTTTTTCCTTACTTTTTCAACTTATTGGAGACCAACCTATTACTTTTTTACTGCGGTTTATACGGCAAATTATGCTATGCGCACGTGCGCACCTTGCAAGGTGCGCACGGCGCTAAAACGGCGTCGTTTTCCGTGAAAACGACGCTGTTTTAACTATAAAAAAAAAATTTGTTCGAAACGCCGTTAACGGCGTTAACGGCATATTCGTTATGAAATTATGAATATACAGTTATGACATTATGAATGTACAGTTATAGAATTATGAATGTATAGTTATGGAATTATGAACATAGAGCTTCGAAAATTATGAATGTTCGGTATGGAATTATGAATGTACAGTTATGGAATTATGAATGTACAGTTATGGAATTATGAATGTACAGTTATGAAATTATGAACATAGAACTCTGACATTATGAACTTACAATTATGAACATAGAGCTTCGAAAATTATGAATTTACAGTTATTGAATTATGAATGTACAGTTACGGAATTATGAATGTACAGTTATAGAATTATGAATGTACAGTTATGAAATTATGAACACAAAGTTGTGAATATATGCTCCTATAACGAAGCGGTCTGAAATTAAATTAAATTTAAAAAAAAAAAAAAAAAAAAAAAAAAAAAAAAAAAAAAGAGAGGGAAGATAACGGTGCCTGACGGCACCGTTATCCGTGCCCATGAAGCACGCTGGGCACGAGCCCACAACATAACTATCCGGTTTATACCATACACACTTACAGGCCCGGATTCTGGGCTGTGCAAGCTGGGCTACCGCACAGGGGCCCAAATTTTAGAAGCTCAATATTTTATTTTTACCTAGTTAGTTTAGAAATAAAAATTAAAATTTTTTAATTAAACTTAAAAGGCTTTATAAAGAAATGGTAGGAACATGTATTTATTGTATTTTAACTTTGAGGTCTAAGGTTCAAAACTTGTGCACACTATTATTATTATTCCATTCCATAATGTCTATTTTACTTGTGCGTTGCACGGAAAAGATTTGTTATAATCTTTAAATTATAACAATGAATATTATATAGTGCAATTGATGAAATGAGTTGTATCGATTATGTTTTTTTATGTTATCCTTGCTTGAATTCGAGCAAATAATTGTCCAATTATCCGTGCAGTGTGCGTGCAATGTGCATGCGATGCACGGATAATTTTTTTTTTTTGTTATATATTTAGATAATAAAATTACGGTATTAGTTTTATAGATTTTAATTTTGGTAGGGCCTTATTTATTTACCCGAAAAGGGCCACAAAAATCTAAAAATCGGCCCTGTAAACTTATACTGTTAAACGGCGCATTTTGAAGAATATGCTTAACTGACCACCATTATCGATTTAATGAAGAAACAAACAATCAACACCACCATAGCTAACAAACAAACAATCACCATAACAAACAATCACATGCTAAGCAAACTTGGCCAAAAATAGTTTAAGTGGTACAATCCCACAATGTTTAAGTGGTACAATCCCACAATGTAAAGAAACTTTAAGAGTGTATCCAATGGTACATTCTGAGAGAGTTTCTCAATTAACTAGGAGCGGAGCCCCGGTGGATACACTCTTAAAGTTTCTTTTATGATCGTCTTGAAATATGGCAATTCTTGAATATAATGTCTTCTTCCTGTACTCTGTCTTTGTTCCATACATGCTCCCTGATTTCCGATTGGACTATATTCATCACCCTTGGATCTTTCATCAGAGTCATATAACAGATGCACTTGTGTCCGTCCCACCAATGAAAACATTTTGAATATTATGCAAAATAATTAAAGAACCTAAGGATCGGATAAATTTAAAATGAATTATATATATATATATATATATATATATATATATATATAT